CCGCAGACCTCAAGAAAAAATCCCATATCTCCTTTTTTTGTAATATTATCGAATACCATCGCTTTTTTAAATTTGTAAACACACATAACGTACCCGATATGCAAAAACAGCGTTGATAAGCCGACCAAAATTACTAGAAACGACCAAAAGATAGGTGATCTTTTCCCAGTTCACAATAGGATTTTTTTTAAAATATCCTTCCTCAATTTAATTGAGACACACCTACCAGCTGACCAAAATTACCAGAAACACTCCGCAGTTCTCGATAGGATTTTTTAAATTGTGTAAATACACACAAACCTACCAAGTGAAGGTGGCGAGAAGCCGAAATTCCCCCCGCAGACAAAGAAGAGAAGATAGACTGACCAAATGACCATAAGAGACTAAACTACAAATCCATGATTCATTTTGATTTTATGTCGTCTAGTAAAGTCCATTCTCACTCAAATTCCTTGGCGAAAACGAAACTAAAACTGTTGATTTATTATTATTATACTTTTACCAAGCGTTCCAAATTCTTCTGATATAATCTTCAAATTATCTTAACAAATCTTAAAGTTGGGCGTTTTCTGATGAGAGAAGATGAGTGGGTTTGTGTTTAAAATCGCTTAAGCATTTCATTTCGTCATAATTCTTTTTTCCCTCACAATAATTCACTACTCGGGAATGATTTAGGCTCATGTTGGGTAATAGTTTTATTTTAAACTTCAGACTAATAAGGCCTTGTGTGGAGAAGCAGCCAGGGGTCGCTCAGGTATTTACGCATGAAATTATCCTTCACGAGGAGAAAATCAATTTTTCATCAGGATTTACCCATCGCGAATGCACAACATGTGTTGCCGGTCATTGCTGATACCGTTAAACGGCCGAGGTGACATTCCTCTCCCGAGGTGACATTCTACCCGCCGGACGGCTATTTTATACGAAATACCTTTCATCCTTATACGCCAACACGTTCTGGCCCCTCGCTATTGGAACAGGAGCTATCTCCTGTGCGACGGACCGTGTCGCGATAAGGAGTCAGCCAGTGAATTTCCGATTCTTGGCTCAAATTTGTTCGTGCGTAAAACTGATGAAGTTTCGCCTCGGTAAAGTTCCATGGCGAAGTTCAGAAACGGCCCTGAAAGTTACCCTCCCATCCCTTAATTGATGTACGTTAAGTCCAAAAACATCTATAACAGCCAAAAACCCCCTGCATAAGTCTCATAAAAAAACTCAGGTGAATTGTCATGCGTTTTTAGTTCTTTTTTGTTTTTGCTTGCCTTTCCACAAATCGTATAAAGACAAACGAAAACAAAAAAGAACTATTTTACTAATTCCACATCATCAAATAATTAAGGATGGTTGGACTTCAAAGATAAATTTCTATGTATAGTCGGACAACCTAATGTTCAATTTACAAAGTACTTACAAATAAAAGTTTTTACTTTTTTGTTTTGTTTTTTTAACGAATATTGAACAAGGTCTCGTTTCACAATCGGTTAGATATAACAAGTAGCCATGAATCAATGCAAAAGTGATAAATAAGTCCACGGTAACAAAGATTGGTTGTTGATTATTAGAGGTTAGTCACCAGTGTGTTGATAATTTTAAACCTTTGTGGGTTTTTTCCAATATTTTTTTCCAAACACTGACAATTCTTTTCCCAGGTGCAGTGTATTAATCAATCAATTATCTTTACGAAAAACAACGTAATGAGGACAGCATCATTCTTCTTCTACTACTTATTTATTGGCTTAGCTAATATCCTAGTAAAAACCGAAAGTATTTTTTAAGTTCAGACCGGTTTTCCTCGGTTTCTGGAAGAATTAGTCAGTAGGAAAATTGATTGACCCATTGTCTGAAATGGGTCCGCATATGGCCACTTTTTTCTTTCTGGAATCCGGCTTTCTAACACGACTTTCTACATATATTCACGAGCTTTAACATATTTATTTTTACAGTTCCACTAACCAGAGTGTTAGCAACAATCCAATATAAATAATATGACAGCACTAGATATTCTAGTCCGGTTTTTAATGTTTAAAAGTGAAACAATCCATAATAAATGAAAGTTTCTCTTATTAAGAAATTTTATAGGTGTGGCTAAAATGCCTGTTGTCTATTTGAGTCCGCATGTGGTCGCTTTTGGTGCAGGAAAACGATTTTTTTAACACAGTACAACTCTTTATATATTCACGGGTTTTAATTAATTTATTTTTACAGCTCCATTACGCAGTTTAAGCAGACGATAAAAAATTCAAAAATAATAATAACAAAAAGACAACCCTAGTAAAAATAAAAGTAGTTTTGTGTTAGTTTAGAATTCTATTTTTCGATCAATTAAGACCGGTTTTCAATGTTCGAAAATGAAATAACCCATAATAACCGAAGTTTCCCTTTTTAAGAAATTTCCAATTTGGATCCGCATACGGTCGCTTTTTTCTTTGTGGAATCAGCCTTTCTAACACGGGCCAACTCTACATCACGAGCATTAACAAATTTATTTTTACACTAAACAGAGTTTTAGCACACAATGCAAAATAAATAATAAGGTATTTTTATTCCGGTTTTCAATGTTTAAAAGTGAAATAATCCAAAATAGAAAGGTTCCCTTACTAAGAAATTTTATAAATAATGTGGCTAAAAGGTATGCATGTTGTCGATTGGGGTCCGCACGTGGTCGCTTTTCGTGCAGGAAAAAGAGCTCCTTTTTAACACAGTACGACTCTTTATGTATTCACCGATATTTAACGTATTTATATATAGCTCCACTAAGCTGAATTTTAGGAGTCAATAAATAATAGCAATACGAAAACCTCTTAAAAAAAGTGTTAGTTTATTATTTTTGAATGTTTGATAATAAAATAACCCAGAATAACCGAAAGTTTTTCTTTTAAAGCAATTTTATAGGTGATTTGATTGCAAATATTCGTCAAGTCTGAACGTTGTCCATTTGGTTCCTCATGTGATAGCTTTTTTTCTTTTAGGAATCCGGCTTTCTTACAAATTATGACTTTATATATACACATATATCAACAGAGTTTAACATATATATTTTAACACTTCCACTAAGCAGAGTTTTAGCAGACAATCAAAATTTATAAGGCAAACCTCGTAAAAAGATAAGTATTTTCTCTCGTTCAAATTAGACCGGTTTTCAATGTTTAAAAATAAAATCACCTTAGTGTGATGACAAAAGTGTCCTTTATAAAAATTGTTAAATTTGGCTGCAAATAGTCAAAAAGTTTTGCATGTCGATTTGGACTCATATGAGGTCGCTTTTTGGAAAACCGGTTTTTAGCACATTACTACTCAGTATTAACAGGCTTTAACGTTTTCTATTTAGAGTTCCAACAAATGTTAAATTTTAATAACAACATAGTTGAGAGCATATTTTTGTTTTATAGAATTAGAAGACAGTTTTTCAAATGTGGTGTACAGGTATTCAATGTTTAAAAATGAAATAATAAATAACTATAATTTAGTGGAAATTTTAAAGATGGTGTATAAGCGATTAGTTTAATAGTTTTTGAAGTCTGTGTTACCAATCATTGTCAGTGCCGCGTTGGTTCGCTTTTTTCTGAAAACAGTCTATAACTATTGTTTTCTTTCAGACCATTCGGGAATAATCGTTGATTTTGATAAGATAAATTGTAGTCAAAGTTATTTATCTGGTTTTAAATTGCAATTTATATAGTTTTATGAGGAAAGGTAGGCCGTAGGTGCCACGCTGAATTCGAAGGTAAATAGCAAAACCAAGGGCTCAGTGCCACGTACGCTTTGTGGCAAAGGCAGCCATTTGAGTGGGCAGTAAAACGCCAGCTGTGCTTTTATGGGCCGTGGCTAAAAGGGTAACAACTGTTTCCTACTCCGGCCCATTCAAAAATCTCTCCCGCGCGTCAAAACGGCAGACCTGCAAAAATCCTGGAACGAGGCCATCCGATATCTTCTCCAGCGTGGGATTTGGGCGCGGCCCCCAGGGATGACAAGGTAGAAGGGGGAACGAGCCCCCGGAGTCCTGGAGATGACAAATCAGGTCGATAGGGCACTGAGATTTTCAATTCTGAATCATTTATCACTAGGTCTTTAGATAATTAAACCTTTGTTGAAAGCAGATTCTTCATTTTGGCGAAGCTACCGGCAAATTTCTGAATAGTCACCCAAGTCGTTATTGTCTGTAATATTTTAAAATAATAAATATCATTCTAAACATGTCATATCAATGGGGGAAACGATGTTTTTGTCGACGATAACAGGTTTTGCCATGTTTTGCCCTCCCGAAAAATTAATAGCCGCTATAAAATCCTGTTGGGCTATATTATAAACAAAACGATCGATTTTGCCTTTCGGTTTCTGACTTCTATGCCAAGGGTCGATTTTGTGAGACGCAGCCCGCCTTGCGCAACCCCAGGGGGTGGCCCGATCGAAGGGGATGGAGCCCGCCAAAATGGCGTCACAACCCTTATCATGGATCGCCGCCTTGTGCTCCTGCCAAGCAAATTTTCATATTTTCCATTAAAAAAACATCGCGATAAATTAAAAAACAGTTGCTCAGCGTCAAGCGGGACCGACTGTTGACGTGACCGCCAAGGTAAGCAGTGATCCACAATTAATCGGTTTGAAATGATGTTTGACTTCACTATGTCCAACCTTTGACAGATTAAATATTTTAATAAATAAAGGTTTTATACTTTTATTGTTTATATCTAACCGACATAGGTTATGTATACAGTCCATAAACTCACAGTACATATTCAATGGAATACGTGTTATTAGATAAAACATGACGTGCATTTTTTTTTTAAACTTAAGAAAAATTTTAATTTAGTGAAATCGATGGAAGGATAGTTAAAAGGTATGTGTAAATTTTTGTAAAAAAATCCAGCCACGTTACTCATGTAACAGAACGTCTACCCTCCACCAGCGAACGCATCTTTTCACTTTCGCCTACCTTATCGTTGAAAACCGTCAACACATAAAATTTGGTAAATCAGTGTAAATATAAAATTGATCTTTACCTGCGTTGGTGGTGGAGAGGAGTTGGACGAGAGACTAGGACGGCCAGGATTTCTGGCAGCCCCCACCACAGTAACATGGGGGGAGCTGGCTGTGGAGGGGTCGACTATAGCCCCGTTCCGGCCATTAACATAAATTACAAACTAGACAGTTAGTATTGTTGGGGTGGGTCCCCCTCTTGTATGATCGCCGATTCTTCTTCACAGGGCGAAGCCCGCGGTGTTAACAGTTGGTCAGCGAGATTAAAACTACCCAGTCTTCCGTTTCCCTTCCTACTGTACATCTCTGAAGTTGTTTTTGTTCGATTTTTTGGTTCTCTTCGACCTTCGGCAGTTTCGCCCACTAAAAATATAAAAATCGTACAAATTTTTTTTCAACGAGCTTTGCTTTATCTTTTGTGGCCAAGATACAAGTAGACTAGTAAAGACGGGGAAGTTTCTTCAATAAACACTTGGTCTTTTGACTTCTCATTATATGAACTTCTCATATTGCAGCGAATCTTTTGGCGTTCATATCCTCTTTGTTCCGCTTCTCGCCATCTTCAGTGTACATTTAGCAATTAAACGGGGAAAGACCATATAACAAAAAATCCTGTTGAATTCTGTGGAAGATAATATTTAGATTAATTAATCTTTATGTAAGGTATTGGTTGAAATGAAAAAGTCAGTGTCACGAGCGGGATTCGAACCCCCGACCTTCGGCTATATACGCCTCTGCTCTACAATTTGAGCTGTCGTGACTTCGATCCACTCGCACACCAACTTCCCATCTCAACCTACCTTTCGAATTTTCCTTCCTTTTCGAAATCATGATAGCTCAAGTGGTACAGCAGCGACGTATTAAGCCGGAGGTCGTGGGTTCGAATCCCGCTCGTGACACTGACTTTTTTAATTTCAACCAATACCTTATATAAAGATTAATAAATTGAAAGAAGTTATTTGGTCAATCGGACCACGAAATATAATGGATTTAGTAAGTACAACGAAGTATATCTTCACTAAAGCTCTCCACTCCGTGGCCATTTCATTTGTCGTCGAGAATCCAATCCGATTACATGACATTTGAAAAATGGCAAAAAGGAAGGAAAATTCGAAAGGTGGGTTGAGGTGGGAAGTTGGTGTCCGAGTGGATTGAAGTCAGGATAGCAGAAATTGTCAGAGCAACGGCCTATCTAGTCGAAGGTCGTGGGTACGAATCCCGCTCGTGACACTGACTTTTTCATTTCAACCAATACCTTACATAAAGATTAATTAATTGAAAGAAGATATTTGGTAAATCGGACAACGAAATATAATAGATTTAATAAATCTTTAGTTTGTTCGTTTGCGCAATCCTGGGCCTGCATATCCCCTCTGTTTTGGTCTATTGAGTACATTTCAGCTTCTCGCCCTCTTCAGAAGTGGCTTTGGGTGTACTTACACAATTAAAAGAGGAAGGACGATATTACCAAAAAGATTTCTTTGTTCGGGGAAGCAATGAATTTCTAATTTTGTAGTTTCTGCTCATTTTGATCTGCCTACTCCTGCTGTTTTAGCATGTCTGGTGCAGTTCGGTTTTTCGCCCACTTCATCAGTAGTGGTTACGAGTGTACTTACACAATTAAAAGAGGAAGGACAATATTACAAAAAAAAAGTTCTTTGTTCGGGGAAGCGATAAACCTCTACTTTGGTAGTTTCTGCTCATTTTGATCTGCCTATTCTCGCAGTCTGGTGCAGTTCGGCTTCTCGCCTACTTCAGGGATGAATTTGTGTGCGTTCAGAAATTATGAAGGGGAAGTATGATATTACAAAAAAAAAACTCACGTGGTCTGGGGAATGATGAAGCGGTAGTATGGAAGTTCTTAGACATTTTGGTCTGAGTGTTGTCGTTGTTTTGGTCTGTCAGGTGCGTTTAATCTTTTCGCCAATGTTAGTGGTGGGTTTGTGTATAATGGGTCGCTAAAAGTTAGGGGTTCTTACAAAACGCTTGCGTATATTTTGCGCATTGCATAAGGAATTCAACTCCAGGTACCATCCATTTCATTCTTTTAACGCTCATACCGCGTAAAGTGAAGTATCCCAAACAAAGTTTCTTTAAAATCGGTGAATCAAGATCCGTAACCTTTTCTTGTGAGTCGCTTCGTTGCTTTCAGTATGAAATCAGAGAGACCAAGCGGAATAACAGTTCATATTTAAAACTAAATTCTACTTCGACACTTTACATGAAAATTTTATTGTAATGTGCCTGGTAATCAGAAAATCTTTACTCATGGCATCATTATAAATGGCACAATTACACAGAAAACAAACACTTTGAGTGAGTAGAAATACTTTGATTGAATATATAAAATATATTTTGCATTGTATAAATTCACTTTTTTCCACATCCTACATGTATTTGTTAAATTTAAACAATGTTTGTAAATCCCAGGCCCTGAAGATGATCTCAATAAATATCGAAACGTTGGCACGATAAAGAAAATGTTTTTCTGAAACCTACATCACACCAGACCGCATCTCACGATTTCTGAATAATCATCATTATAAAGTTATACAATAATACAATAACCTCCTGGTTTATCGCCTTGATGTAAAATTTTTATAAAAACAGTTTTTCTTTTTTGTATTAAAATTTTTGAAAATGAATTTCAGAGATAAAAGTGCAGTGTTTAAATTGAGCTGCTTAAAAGATAATTTTTAAATCAGCGGTGCCCCTATTAAAACGGAAACAGGGGGACCGTGTAAATAAAAAGAAATTTTTCGTTTGACTCAATTAAAACGGTCTCCTTTCTTCTTGAAGGATAAGATCTTTAATAAATAATACAGAGCTGTTAGTTTCTTAATGTCAGGCGATATCCCATTTCAAATTAATAAAAGAGATTGAACAAGCGCAATGAAAAATCAGCTTCTTCCACAAAATATTACTTCCCATTTCTAGTATATGTTTTCAATTTAATTATGAAGTAAACTTGTAATTTTAATTTATTAAGATTTTAATTTTGGGACGGTTCATTGGTAACATTAACTTCTATACTTTCATTAAAATTACTGAAATAAATGATAATAAACTTGTTTAAAAGTAGAGTAAATCTTGTCATACAAGAGAGCTTAACGTCCATCTACTGTTATGTTATGGTGCATCGGAATGGATCGTTAAAAAAGAAAAACACCTTCTTAGGCAGTTCAGCAATGTCATTTAATGGAAGCCGTGGAGGTCGAACCAGGTAAAGATGAATCATATTTAAAATTTCCACAGCTATTCTTCCCATTAATTGATCGCAGAAAAATCATAGATGACAATTTGTGTGTTTTCGCCGTAAACGAAAGAGAGGTTATGATGGTACGTCATTTGTAAATGTTAGGGAGTAGTGAGACGCAATGTTAAGGGCAATCTATCGTTCCATTTTCCCACATACAGAGTGTTCTTTTTGAAGGACCCGCTAATTTCTCTTGAACCAATGACGCTATAAAAAAATTTAAAAAACATGTTTGATCGTTTTTAGTCTAGTTACCAATTTTTACCAGTTCAACTTCGAAATTTCAAATACGATCCTATACATCCTGACACATTATTTTAAAGGATTTTTTAGCTAAAAACAATGGAGCAATCGGCGTCATTTTGTTTGTTATTTATTAATCACATTTCATGTTCGAACTGCCTGCCTTGCGTAAAGATGCGAAGATTTGCTCTTTTCAATCACTCTTTTTTTGTTTATTTTTCTCTTCTATTATACCAATTTTTTTTCCTTCACTGGTTTAAGAGAAATTCAGCCGGGCCATCTAAAAATAAAAAAGGGGGTGTCGGTGGCCGCAACGGTTTAGGCGTTGACACGGCGCTAATCGTTGTAAGGTAAAGTTTCCGGTTCGAATCCAGCGGCCCTGCATTCGAACCCGACATACTTACAAATGTTTTTTCAAAACTACCGGCTCCGTGAGGGTTTATATGACCTTTGCTGTTGCGAACCCTCGTAAAAAAATAAAATAAAAAATAAAAAAAGGACACCCTGTATATGTTTAATTCGCTAACGCTTCAGACATTTCACGAACTCCTGCGTTCTGGAAATCTACGATAAGGGCGGAATTAGGAGTCCTCCATGGGAGATGGTGTCGCTATGTCCTCTAAAGCTATTTAACAAAGTCCTTACTTTATAAGGCAGTAATTCACCGCTCTTCGTACAACCGTTACGATAATTACAATAGCGTAGACAACGTGTTTTAAATACTGCTCATAGAAAACAGTCAATAAAGTTAAATCGGGTGACCGAGGAGCATACCAGATTGGGTCATGAGGTCCTACCTATCCAGGAAGTGCCGATTCAAATAACTTCCCACCTGCAAAGAGTTGTGTGCGGGCCATCCATTAAGCTGCAGAATCATTCTGTGACGTTGTTGCAGAGGAACATCATCTAATAGTGTTGGTAAAACCTCCCTCAAAAAAATTGAGGAACTGTGCATCATTTAAATTTTTTTGAAGAGTTAAAAATTTGAAACTAGACTAAAACATATTAAACGCGTATTATTTTATAGCATCACTCGTTTAAGAGAAATTCAGCCGAGACATCTAAGATGGACACCAGGAATATATTCTTCCGTCCTTCCTTTAATTCGTTAACGCATCACACATTTCATGAACAGAAACATACCTTCCTGCGTTCTGGAAAATCTACGATTAGGAGTCGTTCATAGGAGATTGTGTCGCTATATCCTCTAAAGCTGTTTAACAACGTCGTTATTTTATATGACAGTAGTTTACCGCTCTTCGTACAACCTTTACGATAATTACAACGAACCACGAAGTCGGAAATCATCAGTTCCATGTTTAATATTTTACCGGCGTAGTATGAGCGCAATGGACCGACCGAAAAATATTCTCTTATGGATGTATGTATCGTCGTTACGTTTATCCATCGTCACGTGGTTTACAAATATGATCAAATATTTATTTGATCTCCCATTTCTATACTTCTCTAAATATTTTTGTTGTGTGAACGAATTTATTGTTCATAAGATAATAGAATTCACGCTTATCCAATAAAAGATGGTATATAAAAATACAATATTTAATTTTTGTCTAAACATTTGTTTTCAATGCCACGTTTTAACGCGGTTTTAT